CTCTCTCTCTCTCTCTCTCTCTCTCTCTCCAGTGCCAGAAGAGATAAAATAGAGATTCACCTACTACAAGTAGGAACTAGATATATACAAGTGAATAATATTGACTTACAATCAACTTCTTAAGCGATCAGCTTCTTAACTTCTTACAATTAACTTCTTATTAGCACAAGCGTATACTAATCACTAAAGTTAAATACTCATTAAGGACACATTCACCACTCATACAAACTAACCGTATTAATCAAGTCGCAACGTCTAAATGTTATTATTACTAAAATACTGTTTTTTAGTAATCCTGATCTTTTTTCTCTTTCAAAACCGCTGCATTCTATACAATTGTTTTTAACGCTTTTAGAGGGAAATATCCTGAGGCGTTAATAAACAATCAATCAAGAATCTCTCTCTTTCTCTGCCTTTCTCTCTCTGTCTCTGTCTGTCTCCCTCTTTCTCTCTCTCTCTCTCTTCTCACACACACACACACACACACATACACACATATGTGACACCTTTATCGCGACAGCTCGCGTCGAATCGGCGAGGGATACGTAAACGTGACGCGAGAACGACGGTCGCGTGGCGGGCGGACGCGCGGGCGGTTTTTAAAAGAATCCGTATCACGTGCGGTTAAATCCGAGATCGCGCGCCGTATGCGCGCCGCCACGTGAATTTTGTATTGCCGTGTGCGAATGACAGATTTATCTCTGTGGTGCGCGCGCGTGCGGACGCCGAGACGAGAATTTCGCTCGAAGCCGTCGCCACCGAAGTGAGACGGACTTGGTTCACTTCTCCGGCGTACGAGAGCGATCGGCCGCAAGGAAACTTTCGATCGTCCGGCCGATTAGCGACAGCTAACGGGCTCGCTGTGCCCCGTCGTCGCCATCTGCGCGCGTTGTTACACGCGAAAAATATCTCGGTTAATCAATAAACACGCTATCAGGCGGCTACACCGGACACTTGACCCCGCGGCTTTTTTCTCCAGCCGATGTATCCGATGTTGCTAGGCGAACAAAATGTCGCACTTGATCGTCTCAATTGCGGGCATGTAAACACTGCTGGATCAGTCGGCGGTAACGCGGTGCCGAGAATGACATTCGCGTCTGCGAATTAGTGATCCTTCGTGATCGCCGTCGAACAACAGCCGATTACGAGGAGCTTGCTTGTTGTTGTTTATTTCTGTTGTCTTTTTTCTCTTTTAAGCAATTGTTGCAACCGCAACGTCGAGACAAGATGTCGCGAATAATTCGCCGCGCCTAAGTGGGACACGAAGACGAAGTGAAACAACAAGAGTGGCGCCTGTTACGTGTCTTCGAGAAAATACACGACGCGCTACTTAATCGGGTACGCGCTGCTTAATTGAACGCGCAGTTTGCTCAATGATAGTGGCGGTCTCTCATTTGGAGAAGATAAAGTTTTCTTCGCGGGAATTTAAGTCGAGCAAAGTGTCG